TGTGTCATTTGACTGTCATAACAGGAAAAATTGGAACCAAAACTGTCCAAACTGCTTTTCGAACAATTTTGAAATTCGCTAAGTTGCGAAAGCTCGTTTATAATTCAAACAACCTAATAATTCAACAAAGTTTACGCAACTAAAGACACATCTTCCTTGAGAAAAAATTTTTGGATGGCTTAAGCCTGATTAGTAAACAACAAACTAATCTTTACAAACCCACTCACAATTCTGCTATTCTCGCTTTAGAAGTTCCCCTAAAGGAAAAAATGGACATTCAAAAAGGGGGTTTTCAGGGTTTCCGGCCCATTTTGCAAGACACCGCATAACAGAGTGCTCCAGTGCAAAGGCAGGAAGCGTGCCCCAATATGACTTCTGAATGCGCTTGAACATTCAAAATTCTATATCCGATACGATACCCAGATTGCTGTCCCGAAAGAGCCCGCCATGGCAACCTGTACTGCGTTCTGTCCCGAGTGCAGTTCTCTTACCATACGAACAGACTGGTCTTTCACGAAAAGCTATCACTAGATCAGTCAAAACAAGCACGTACATGAAACATGTAAACGAGACCCATTTCCTTTCTATGTATGGCACTTCAGGTAAAAGAAAAAAAAAGTAAAAGAAAGCTGAAGAAATCATGTAGGAAGTGCATTTTTCCACACCTCCATCAGTATAGAGGTCGAACCACAAACCACCTTCCACTCATTTTGGCACTCACTGAGCTACTAAGAAAAATTTACGTGTTTCTTTTGCCCGTATGCTACGAAATGCGTGAAAATCTCAGCCGCTCTCATTTCCTGAACGGAGTCTCTCGTAAGCAATAAAAAGTACAACGAATTGATTCAATTATGACAACGTCTTTCAGATAGGAACTAATCTTTGGGACCTACGAGTAGAACGAGAAACCATGAGGTTCACCCTGAACACAGCTTTAAAAGCGGCTGAACAGTGCCTCATTTGCATCGAAGAGTTACACAGGGTTCGTTATTCTGTAATCACGTAGAGAAACGACGTTACAAATTTGTGCATTGTTACGTCCTCTGAAGAGGCGTTTTCAGATAGGCTTTCTACACCGCGACATTAAGCCGGGAAATTTCGCCATCGGTCGACCAGAAGCAAATGAACATCACATCATATTCATGCTCGACTTCGGCCTCTGTCGAAAATACCAAGAAAAGGTCATTCTCTTGCACGTTTTCGCTGAGCTGAAAATAGTCGAAACATTACGACTCACAGCAGGCCTTGTCGGATGACCTGATCACAGGTAGGTTCGAAGGTGCTCACTTGCAAGATGGATTCCTACCAAGGCAAGAAGACCTGGAGTAGAGAAGTCGTGTCTAAGCAAGCATGACCGCAACGCAAATGTATGTCCCTGCTGTCCTGATCGCTTTGCTGACTTCCATTGCTTTTGAAGAGCGTGAAGTGTCTTTTTTACATTTCATTCGTGCTTTGGCAGAATGTGATAAAATAAGTCATGCGATGATGTGATGACAGAACTCAAGCGTGAAGGACGTGAACTGTTGCGGCGTACCACAGAAGTCGAAGGAAGCACGCGTTGAGAGTAATTATTGCTGTAATTCTATCTGAGAGGGGATAGGTGACACCGATTGTGTGGGTCGCACTTTGCGTGACCTCCATCGCTGTTTCTTCAGCCTCACATAGGTGTTTCATCGCTAGAAGTTACCATGTGAGGATCTGCAGGAATTTGGGGATCCAAATATTTGCAGAACCCAAGATCCGTTTAATGAGGGCTATACGTGAGTACTCAGTGATCGTTTTTGGCCTTTTGGTGAGTCATGTTATGTCTGACTCAGATTCACATTTTTGTGCTTGCCTCGGACGAGTACTAACCGCGAAGGTCAACAGGTCGCCATGGCCATTCAGGATGGGATGCATATTGGCGTGTGCGTCTCAGGACACTGAACTCAAATTTGCTTTCAGAATTTGCGGAACGATTCTCTAGGAGGAGTTAGGGGGGGGGGGTTCCAGCACAGTACCCGCCGAATACTCTTTGTGCTAGCTCAAGTTGAGTTCGAAAGTCAGTAGTGATAAGCGGTCGATGGTGTAGTGGATAGGTAAGTTGCAGTTCATAGATGCGAGGTCAGGGGTTCGATTCCTTGGCAGGTTCGAGTTTTTGCTTTTTTCCGAAACATATTCTGTGAGTCCAGAAGAACGTCTATTCCGTTATTTCTCGAGTCTGCTCTCATTTGCAGTAGGAAAAAGAGTCAAATGCCGGCACTTCGTCAGTTGTGCTTCAATTTCGAGACTTCTTGAAAAAATAGCTGGTTTTCAAATGGTACATGAACGAGTAAAACTAGTACTGCTTAGGAAATGAAACGTCTACAGATCGACTTAAACAGTAGGAAGGGGTTAATCTCCAAAGGTTGAATCAAGGCTGTAGCACATGGTGGTATGCTGAGACTTTTTAAACGCTTTTCAGCTTTTGTGGTCTTTGGAAGAGCTCCACGAATCAACTATCACAGGTGTTGACTGGATAGGCAATGCAAGCTTATCCAGTCCAGCATAAGATGCTTACTCATAAC